TAGAATAGATTATATGGAAATATAAATAGGCTAGTGGTGTTGAGATTTCATGGGGGAAAAAATTTACCTCACATAAATAATGTGCATGAATAGAAAACTATTCACAGAGGTATTCTATAGTAGACTAAATAAAATGTATAAATTATTTTCTCAAGATAAAAAAAAAAAAAAAAGTCCTCCTTGTGAGATGGCCTATATCACAGCATGCTAGCAAACATCAACCTCCACTGCCAAGTAGGATTTAGTAGGGACACGTCTTGTACAAGTAGTGTGTCGACAGTCAACCCATATGGATAGATGAAGTGCCAAATTAGTTTGGAAAGCAGAATAATGTCCAAAGATTAAGTAAAAGATAATTTGTATTCTAGTCTTTGTGGCATCAAACTCTGAATTCATTTACTATTGTAATAATCAGATCATCAGCACTAGGAAAGTTCAGCTCAGTTCAAAGCATTGACTTGCATTTTTATGAAGACTAACTTTGGAGATTTATGTGTATATCCAAGCAAAGCTTTACCTGCACAAGTTTGATAGGATTCATCTTCATTGCTCCCACAGTCATTAGCTCCATCACAAAGCCATCTCTTGGGGATGCAGCGATTATTCTGGCATTTAAACTGATCATCAGGACAGCTATGATTGACTAGGAGGGAGAAGGAAGCAAGTTTAATCATTTAAAATTGAATAAAGTTGTGAATGTTTTGAATGAGTTACAGAAAAGTTACAGTAATAATAATATTACAGTACAATAAATGCCATAGATTCTGTCATTCATTGCCTTATATTTAATAGCAAATACTAATATCCACTTTGTTAAAATGTAATGCTTTTACAGAAAACATCAAGTAATTAAATCATAAATAAAAGGAAATGTATTGTTTTTTATGTCTCCATTAAAACCAACTGTATGGCTGGATGTGGTGGCTCATGCCTGTAATCCCAGCATTTTGGGAAGTCAAAGTGGGTGGATCACCTGAGGTCAGGAGTTCAAGACCAGTCTGGCCAACATGTTGAAACCCCGTCTCTACTAAAAATACAAAAAATTTAGCCAGGCATAGTGGCGCTTGCCTGTAATCCCAACTACTCAGGAGCCTGAGGCAGGAGAATCACTTGAACCTGGGAGGCGGAGGTTGCAGTGAGCAGAGATTGTGCCATCATACTCCAGTCTGGGCAGCAAGAGTGAAACTCTATCTTAAAAAAATAAAAATAAAACCAACTGTATCACTAAGTTTGTTTTCTCATTCCTTATACCAACTGGAGACGCCACTTAAAATTTTTTATCAAGAACATTTAAAATTAACCTCAAATTTTAATGTTAAACATAACAAGTATGTATTGAAAATAATTTAGTCATATATATTAAACATATTTTTAAACCACATAACCATTCAAATATTTCTTAACATACTAAATAAGCCTACATTTATTACTCTCTGTCCAGTGTTTCTTGGGAATGGAAGGAAAAACACAGAAAAGAAAAATGCATCACTTGTGACCTAGAGTTGATGTTAACTATGAGATTCTGTATTATTTTAAAAACAAAACCAAAAAAAATTATCGTGACTTTTCTTCCCTAGTACAAACAAATAAACATGCAACCACAGAAAATACGTAGGAGGTGACCAGTCCTCATCTGGGAAGCAGTGCACAGCTAAGGATTAAATGTCCAATATCTAAGCACAACAGGAGGCCCATCTTAATGTTAACCTTCCATGATTATTTTTCCTCCATTCCAGAGGCTAACCTCCTAACTGAATTGGCATGCTCTTCAATATGTGTTTCACAATTTCAACACTGTTTTTAGGGTTATTTTCTTTATGCCCAGTAGTTACACTTCTGTATGATAAAAACAAATGTTTATATTCGTTTTACTGAGAATTTGAAAAAATGTTATTTTACCATGGTATCATGTTTGTTGCATAGCGAATGTATGCATTTCCAGTTAGTTTCTATAAAACATTTTTTTAAAGTAACTTTGTTGATAAGTGGTTTTATCACTTTTTAAAAAGTTTTTATTGATGTATAGTAAAAAAAAAAAAAAACAGGGATAAAAGCTTTATATTCTCTGGTATTTGAGCATGATTTACATTTTCTACTCACTTCAGGGACTTTAGCAAGAATAACTGCTGAGAAAAATAAAAGTCATCTGATGTAGTAGAGAGTCAACAATTTAAAGTACCAAGATTCATATGCATTCAGTGAGGCTTAATCAAGGACTTTTGCAATTTTCACCAATAAAGTAATAAACGGGAATTCAAACACCTTTTGGTTTGGAGTTGAAACACTGAAGGAATAGAAAGAATAACAAAATTCAAGGCTGCAGATTATGGGTGTTTAAGATTTGAAATAATTCTCTGAAATTACCTATGTAGTGTTAGAATATTAACCATGAGATCTCAGAAATAAAATGTTGCTCAGCATCACTGCAATGCTTAGGAAAAATGACATAGTGCTGGAAGGTGGTCAGAGGTGTGTAACTGCTTATTGCCTCACTTATCTAATTACCCACTCATCCATGTGCCAGGCCCTGTGCTAGACGCAGAGACTACATAACACTACAACATAAGGTGTCTTCTCAAGAACATATTAATCTATGAGATGTTCCGAATAAGTAAGCAAATAATTGCAATTTGGTTTGGCAACTACTATAATAAAGAATTGTACAGGAGATGAATGTTTAACTCCAAACAACTGTACTGAGAAGATTTTTTGATAGTCAAAAAAGATTTTCCTAAGAAGGTAATGGTAGGCTATGTTGAATTCCTTAGACAGAAAACAGTCAGTGCAGTGTTGCAGAGGAGAAAAACAGGACATGTTTTGGAGATTTATAGTTCAAGTTGATAAAAATAAAAAGGCAAGTGGATCCATAATAGACTAAAGACTAAAAATGTAAATACAAGACAGAGCGGGAAGTATTGTATATGAGAGTCAATGGATTATAAAATTTGTTTTTTTGGTTATGTAGTTATTGAAATTATAAGAATAGATATTATTCTATAAATATTGTTCTGAAAATAGTGTGGAAAGTGGGCTAAAGTTAAGGGAGGATTAGTGGCAGGCATAATAGAAAGCCATTTTCTGAGTTAATCTAAGGTGAAAGCCTATTAGCCAATAGAAATTGAGAGGAGGTAAACATAAAATAATTAATTATTTAGGAAGTAGAAGAAATAGGATTTATTTATACAATTGAGTGTGGACTATAGGTAAAAGAGAGTTCTCAAGGAAGAAAAACAACAACAACAACAACAACAACAAAACATGGCTTGGGTGATGGAATGAAGAGTGATGACAATAAGATAAAATGACTGACTAGAACTTTTAACACTCTAATTAACAGTACAAATGCAATGCTCCCTCTACCCATAGAAGAGGTCAGTTTTCTTGTTAATTTACTAGAAAATACAAGTCACACTGATGAAAACGTGGACCGAAGGAACCAATACATGATTATTGTGATGCAGTATTTGCACTCTGCTCAGGCGTTTCAAGTTGACTACAGAGGAAGCTCATATATAGGGCGCATTCATCACCGCCACAAATAGGCTGGCACAAAGGTAATGCATTATCACAAGAGACTCTTCACACTCAGTTACAAATCAAACTCCTTGTTCTACTCTTTCCTCCCTTTTTACTACTGCACTTGATTGATTAGTCTTAAAAGTAATAATAAGTAAATAACAGTTCTGATTATGAGTCAAGAAATGAGGCAATTAATCACTAAATAATATTCATTTATGTAAATTAGTAGGGCAAAAATACCCTTTACCCTCAGACGAAATGTTCCTCTCACTCCAAAACTCTTGACAAATTTTATCAATTTAGTATTTGATATTTTTGGGGGGGATTCAAACTTTGCAAGACAGATATTAATGGGGCTGAAAATAGGAAGTACATAATGTGGAAGTCAGGGCCTGATTTTAGAAAACACAGTCTTTATGCATTTATTATAATTTATGTATTATGTATTAGTATACAATTTGAAAATATTTTTTAAAGTTCATATTCTTGAGATTTTTGTCCTAAAGCATTAATGTTTGAATAACACAGATGCCCAGACTAATTTTTCCCATTCTTAAAAAAGATCTTTAAAACTTTATTTGTATATTCTTAGTTTAAAAAAAAAAAGGAAATGAAGGACTGTCAACTGATCTCATTAGTTCAGACCTAAACCTTTTCTTTCATTCATTTATTGAAAGGAAAAAAGTTTTAAAAACAATGTACTTAGGTGAAGTAAAAAGATCAAGGATCACTTTGTTCAACACATGCCTTCTTTTCATATAAAATATTTTATTCTCTCAAAATCACTTAGCTAGTGACTCTAATCAAACGTATTCTCAAAATATTATTTAATGTATTTCCCCAAATGTTTTCCTAACACGTATGTGAGAAATTTTCCTATGCCTACTAGCAACATGGAACTATTCTTATCCCAGCAGATGATAAATAATTAAACATAAGCCAAAGAGGGGAAAATCAAACCTTGATTTCTAAGTGCCCATATGTGTTTTCTACCATGTCCTGAGCCAGTGAAACTATATAGTAACACGTTCCAAACCCATGTCTGTTTCCTTGGATCTTCTTCAAGACTCTGTTGCCAAAGAGCAGTGGAGTGGATCGTGACCTTCTGTACCAGTAATTCTGTCTTGAGGGAGTTTAAATTGATTTTCCACATCTTTAAATTCCAAAATCCAAAGAATTTCCCTATAGCAACCTCTGTCAGTGGCGTGGTGGTGCTCATATCATGGAATATAAAAGGAGAAAATTCTTAGAGCAACTAAAATGATAATATGAAGGATGGAAAAGGATGAGAAAAACTGCTTTGAAACCATGCAAAGAAGGCAATCTATGGTCTACTCTTTATGCAAAAGGATGAATGAAAAATTAAACTAAGGTCAATTTGCATCTAAGATATTTTCGGATTTTCACAAACTGCCTTGATAATTCACACACTCAAAGATTCGAGAAAATACAGTTTTTAGGTGACTTGAAGGAGAACATACAGCAGTTTACTGAGTCCTCATCGCTTCCGTCTAGGCAATCATCGTCGCCATCACATTTCCACCGAGCTTGGATACAGTGTCTGTTTTTGCAGCGAAATTCTCCAGCTTTACATATGCGAGGTAGTGCTTCTCCAGGGTTAACTAGAGTTAAAAACAAAAAACAAAAACAAAAACAAAAAAACAAGATAAATGAACAATGCTAGCTATAGTCAGTCCATGAAAATTTAAATCTTGTCGAGTTTGTTTGTTTTAGATTCCACGTATCAGTGGGATGAGGTATTTGTCCTTCTCTGTCTGGCTTATTTTACTGAATACAATGTCATCCAGGTTCATCCAAGTTGTTGCAATTGACAGAATTTGCTTTTTCTAAAGGCTGAGTAATATTCCATTATATATATATATGATGGTGGGTAAGGGGAGGTGTGTGTGTGTGTGTGCATTTCACAGTTTCTCAGTTGAATACACAGAGAATAAAGTGGTAGTGAAGAGGAAAAGAGGAGATGTAGGTTAAAGAGTGCAAAGTGGCAGATTGGTAGGATGAATAAGTCTACAAAACCAAGGTACAATACGAAGACTATAGTTATAATATTGCATTAAAATATGCACTGGAAATTTGCTGAGAGTAGACTGTAGGTGTTCTTACCACATACACACACTAAAGAGTGACTATGAGAGAGGACGGGCATATTAATTAAGCTATAGTAACCATTTCACTATGTATATTAAAACATTATGTTGTACACCTTAAATATATACAATAAAAATAATGTCCTAAAATTTTATATGCTTTAAATTCAAAAATACGTGATACTTATAAAGTTTACTATAATTGAACAGACACACAAATAAATTTTGCTATACTAACAAAATATTGTCTCATTTAACTTAATGGAAAATATAAAATATTATGGTGACAGCCATTTTTGAGAAAAAGAAAATTTTAAATTTTTCTGACAACAAGTATTCTACTAGATGAATATTGATCACGTAAGTTGGGATATTTGTGCCATGTAAAACTAAAACACTACGGAGAAGTGAAGGGGAAAAATCACTCAGGGCACATATCATGCTGGAAGAATGTAATTCTCTGCAAGCCTGGATGCTGGAACTGCTTGTTTTAACCTGAAACCAGTTTTATTGAATAGCTACTGAAACAACCCGCTGCAGCTCTAAAACTAGTTTTACTCACTTCTGTCACTCACTGGAGTTTGTGAGCTCCCCAAAACTTTAATAGTGCCAATAAGCTTTCTTGCAAAACAATGTGCAACATTTCTGCTTTCTAGAAAACTTCCAACCTTCTCTTTGTTTTTCGGCCATATAGAAGATCATCTAGTCTGTGGGTGTGCCCCAAACTGCAATTATTACTTCCCAAATAAAACAGTTTAAGTAGAGATGTATCTTTGTAAGATGTATTTTATTTGACTTTTAACAACTAAGAACTTGGAAGATTTATTTTAAACAACAACAACGCTGACCAAAGTAACAACAACATTAACAACAATAATACAATACCACTTTATATTTATGCTGAGTGTGCAGTTTCACTTTTCAAAGAGCTTTTATTCATAGTCTTAATTGATTATGATAACCTATAAGGCATATATGGCAAAGAATTTTACTACCTCCACTTTATAAATAAGTACACTAGGAATTAAAATAAAAAGACAATGCAATAGCACACAGCTTTGATGGCTATAATCACCTTGCTGGTCTGCAAGTAGGAGAAAAACTCAGGCTACTTAAGGGTTCTAGAAGTATTATGTTAGTCAAAAGTATCTCTTTATGTTTGGGAATTTATGAAGTGTTTTTCTTCATATGTTCCAGGTACTCTAAACAAATGTTAGGAATTTGGTTAAGTGGGATTTATTCACAAACTGAGTCTTACTCTTCTTCTGTATCTAAGTGAATTAAATAGTCTAGAAAGAGAAGAGAATATGTGGCAATCAATGGTTAAAATAAATGATTTGTGTTTCATGGACTGTGAAAGGATAGAGGCGGGTGTGTCAAGGAGAATCAATGTAAACATTAATGTTACGTGGCCTGCTGTGGCATGAGGGATAAAATCCTTTGTGTCTAATCCAGGAATCGTGTGTCTTCTACCAGAATTCATGAATCTCAGGCTAACATGCTAGCTTGCAATCAGGGTAAAATCTCAGATTCTTCATTATTCTTGACATAATATACACTTTTTTTTTTTAATTCTTAGTTCTGATTTCCAGATTCTCCCAAGGCATAAAGCATCATTAATTATAATAATTCTAGCCCCGCCCAAGCCTTCCAGATGTAATCCGTAGTTATATCACAAAGAAACCACATTATCAATGCAGACTATCGGGTTTGTTTAGGTTCATGATAACAGTCTAGCTAGCAACATCGATTATAAAGAAAATATGTAGTAATCTAGATAACATAGCAGCTTAGAAGTTCAAAATGCATGGTCTTTTCCCTGGCATTAAACAAGGTGACACTAGATGGCAATGTCATTTATCATTGAACCCCAGGCGACAGCAAGGAAATCTACCAACTTACATAAGATTGGTATTCTTTGTCTACCTTGAAAAAGTCTCTACAAAACATTTGTTTTATAATTAATTTTAACAAATTATGATGTCTCCACTTGAGGAGCTTCTTGAATGTAGAAAGAATAATTTCACATACAGAAAGGAACAATACCTAGAACAGAACAGGGTGTAGAGTTTATGCTCAAAATTGTTTGTTGGCTGATTACTGGAATTAACAGAGATTGGCATTATTGTAGTGAGAGATTCTACTCGTGGGGGCTGTATAAATCCTTCAGGAAAACCACAGCCCTTCAACTGGCTAAGCAGTTAATTCTCTTCTTTTATCACCCAAGGACATGGATAAAGTTGCAAAAGACAAAAAGATAAAACACAAAGACAAAAAGATAAAACACAAAGACAGAGGGATATGTAGACAGAAAGAAGAGAGACAAAGTTCCAACTACACTCAAAATGGTGAATGTATAAAAATCCATATACATTATTTTGTTCCAATGTATAATGTGACCGAATCTATATAGCACTTGGGTGTTTCAACACAGCCAAAAATTACTTTTAGTATATTAACAAGTGCTGGAATTGAACACTTTACTTCAGAGTTGTGCTTTCAACTATGTATTTGAAAACTGATACAAAACCTGTAATTCTACTGCCAGAACCATTTCTAGCAAAAATTCTACAGTATGATCTCACCAATAAGAAATTGACAAAGTAATAAATAATCCTATAATTTAACCAGGATCAAAAGTAAAATAACATGAATCATTGTATACTTGTCATGGAACTATTAGTTCTCACACATCTTGTGGTACCTGCTGTGAGAATAATGAAATCAGAAGGCTTATGCATGAGTCTCCAAGGCACTACAAAAGAAAATATGCATTCCAGAATTATTTGTCTTTGGCAAAAACCGGCTGGAGTTAACGTCCAGGTCATAATGATGGGAAGTAGGAAATACTGTTAAAAAACTTTTATTTATTTATTTATTTTAGTTTGGATTATCTGAGATTGGGAACTCAGCTCAGCTTCTGGACTCAAGGCATATTCCTGACCTTAGTTTAATAACCTGTGGTGTGCATGAACAAGAGCTGATGCTTCTGACTTTGCTTTTTCTCTTTTCAAACACAGTGTGGTGATCTATTCTAAATTAATTTTTCCCTCAATTGATGCATTGCTGTCAACTGCATCAGAATTATAACTCAGTCATAATAATATTTGTCCTGGGACAAAAAATAAAATAAAATGTCTTTCTATTGTTTCTACTTATCTAATATTGCAAAATATTTTTGTTTATTTCTTCATTTTAGGAGTCCAGAATCTCTTATTGCCTCTTTATTTGAGCAGGGAGAGAGAAAAGAACCAAAAAGAAAACTTGAAGTTGTGGTTTGCTGGATCTCTTTATATAAGCTTGCCTATACCCGAAGACTGTGTGAAAAATGCTGTTATAGGTTTAGATTTTTCTCCTTTAGATTATAGCAGCATGACCTTTCATTAGATAGAGTGGTCTTCTGAGCAGCCAACCTAAGTGGTACATAATCTTCTGTGGTTCCCATACACAGAGGGCCATAAATATTCATCTGGATGGGCTTCTAAACTTTTTACTGCCTTAAACTTTTTACTACAGATTAGACTGCATATATCCTAGAACATAAGACTTGTCACAGCCAAGCAGATAAATGGTTCACTATAGAGAAGCTCTGTTTCTTGACAGAGGAATATATCTGGAGCTCCAGAAGGGGATAAAGGTCACAGAGTACCATTGACACATAATTGTGTAATGCTGTCCCTTGGATAACCAATGTTTCTGCAATGTTCAAGTTGCTCTGCTTGGAGAAAGGCACATTGAAAAATTCTGTCTTATTTTTAGGCCACTAAAGAAGAATTAAAAGAATTACTGTTTCTTTACTTTAGACAAAATAATCTTGCTGGAGATTTTTGATGTTGTTGTTGCTAATAGTGACTCACCGTCTTTGGAATCTAACTTACTTTTTGGGATTGTTCATGTCCTTGTTTATTAATATTCTGTGTTGTGATTTTTTTTCTCACAAACATGTCAAGAGAAATACAAAGTTTGCTTGGTAATTGATCACTTAGCTTTACACACCTTCTCAGGGGTAGTAAGTTCCAAGTTAATATGCTACACCCAACATCATTTCTAGTTGTGAGAGGATTTGACCGTGACAGACAAGATTCAAAAAGACAAAGAGTCCATCCTACTCTCCTTTCGGATTCCTTCCAAGCAAGGCATTAGAATTCATCCTTAATCAATCATGTAGCATGTCAATATTTTTCTGTTGGGTACATGTCTTTTCCGGCATAGCCTTGTGTTACAAGTTCATTGAGAAAGAGTCATTGGTGTTTAGCCCAGCTTGAACATTTGCCAGTGGGTTTTTGTTCATTTGACGTCAGTTTAACAAGGATGACTGAAACCAGGAAGATCATGTCACAATGGCTGCAACTTTGTTTTGCTTGTTTGACTCAGATTACACAGTTAATCCAGATAATTCTAGTTCACATGACTATAACCTAGCCTGAACTAAATCAGACATCCAGAAGAATCAACACTAATAAGAGGTTAGTGGCATACTGATATTTACTATGAACTACTGTACTCAGCAACCA